GCTAAATACTAAATCGATTAGTTCTTAGCGTGACAGTTTGCTGCAAGTTCCTAAGCGGGTAGTGAATTTAATTTTTTAACCCGTCATATGTAGGGTATGATTAGAGTAGAATACCACTATAATGTCGCATATTCATATGCTTTATCAAACAACAGCAGTGCAGATAATTTATCTTGCAACTCCATCCGTATTGCAAACTGAGTCGCGACTCAAGTCGAGACTTCGTATTGTTTAGATAAATTGAACGATTTATCTCAAGTCATGTAATTTTGCGCTAAGGTGGGTTAGGTTAGACGGTATTTGCCACCGTTAATTTATTGTTCTCAATATACTAAACATTTACAATGATTTTTTCCTTTCAAATTAAGTTGTTTCGATCCCACCTGTAATATAATTGTGTTTAAAAGATCGTACGCGCTAGCTTAGTAAATTTAAATTTGTACTGGAAAGTACTAAATGGAATCATTAATTTGGGATATCCTAAGTCTGAAATATTCACAGGTAATATGAAATTTTCACTTCATATCTCAATTCAAATTAAATTTAATTCAATTAGATAATTTATAGCTGCCAAATCATTTTTATAATACATACATATAAGTTTGTCCAAATACGAGCACAGTTGGTCACAAACATGCAGTCAATCTCTGCATCAAGAATATTATCGTAAAACTCTGTTTGATCAAGTTTAGTTCAAAGTTTTAGAAATTTTCTATTTGTCTGGACTTTGTTGACTTGCACTGGTGAAACGTTATTTGGGTTTATTTTTAAAATCCGCAGTGTATATATAGGTGTAGTTTACTTATCTATTTTATTATTTTCTATCGTGATACTACACTAGTGATGACCTTCCCTAATCAGATTTCCTGATAAAACCTACATTGTACCTATGTCGTAACCGGGTTGCCTAATCCTAACCTGGCAATGCTAGCAAGGAAACAAGGTTATGGTACAATTATGACATTTGCAATTTTGGCAATACAAACAATAAAATAAAGTTTTTATAATTTTACGCAGATGTACACGGGAACAGCTAGTATTTTTATAATTAGTAACATTATGCTAGGCTATGATACTAAGAACGTAATAGAAATAAACTTTAATTTAATATCAGTATTTATTTGTATGCCTTCATAACTTTCGCTACGAAGCGACAGCTAGTTACGGAGAATTTTGTTCAGCGAAGTTTATTGTAGAGGAATTTGCAGAGATTGCCCAGAACTCCCAACACGTAAACAAGCAAAGTTCGTATTCAAAGGCTTTCAATATACCTGTACTAGGAAAGTCC